TTAGGGAATTTGTTCCGTCTGAAACAGGTAAATCTTTATACATTTTTGTTTAATTTTTGTTAATAATTGTTCGTGGGCATGTGAGTATAATCAAACTTATTACTAACCAAATCTACAAACAGTGGGGGGCTAGCAGTAAGCCTGGTACTTGGATCTCATAATTTAGCGATAATTAACAAAAATATGGACGAGTGCGAAATGATGAGCCTACTTTCCTCCGGCGGCGGCTCCCTGATCGCGGACTGAATCCTTAGAGGCAGCCATTAAAATGATACAAACAGTTAGACAAGTGAATCCACATTGAGCTGTGGTAGTCTGTTTAGGGTGCGTGTGATCTGTTTTCCTGGTTAACCAAATTAATCATTAAGCACAATCATGTGGTTTATACCCACATGGATATTTTAATTCAATATACAAAACAATCCTCATAATTAAAGAAATTATTGAAAGATATGGAATCTAAGCATAATATATTGAAAACATTTAAATCGCTGTCGTGGTTGAACTGAAAAGGAGGGAAGTTGGTGGAGTGGATATCCATTATAAGGGAGCACTGTAGGCGGTGACCAGAAGCACGTGCATGGTAAGGGAAGGGGGGAGGGGGCCGACTGCCGAGGAAGAGAAAAGGCAAAGGAAAATGGGTGGGCGTTTAGAGGATTGGATGGGAAGCCCCAGGGAAGTCCCGAAAGTCGCGCGCTAAAAACGGGGCCTGGGCTGCGCTTAGGGTTTGAAGCGTTGGGAAAAGACAAGTCAGGGACTGGTAACTACTACTACTACTACTACTACTTCACTCCATGTTTGGGCTGTGCACTGTAGAGCGCAGTGGGTGTGTGCTGTTCCTTCATCTCTCGCACCTTCCCCATGCTCCTTATATTATTATAATACGTGCTGTACTGCCGGTCAATACGCTCCATCCCCAGGTGTTTTTTCCTTTCATTTTTTCCCCATTTCCCAATTGCCTCTACCCTCTACCTCTCTCTCTCTCCTCTGCCACCTCTATCAATATTCCCTCTCAATTTAACTCTCTCTCTACCTAAATTAGTCTGAACTCACTCCTAACGAACAAAATATATTCACAGTCTTTCCCTTAATCGAGGCTCCACCCCTTTCTCTCGAGCTCTTGAACATTGTACATTTTTTGTTTTACACTTTAATCACATTTTTACTACACCTTAGAGGCTCACAATCTTTGTTCAATATTTGAGGATTCTATTGTCGTAACTAAGTTCAGGTCATGACTCTGATATCATACGACTCTCCACAATTGTATGATATTGTTCACTTTAAGCATAAGTTCTCGTGGCTTTGTTTAAGGCTTCTCTAGAAAGCATTATACCAATAAAGATGTATTCATTTACTTGAAAACCCATGATTGTTCCCTAAATTAGTCAAAACATGTTTAATTATGGAGTTTCTATCGTTCCGCCATTGAAAATAAAGGTGTATGTTGTTGTTATAGATAGTAACTTTCAATTGTTTTGAATCTTTCTTAGTCATTCTATTCTCAAGATCAATCTCATTCAGATATGGTTCTCAGTTTATTTATATACTCTAAAATATTTATAATATTTTATTTCAAATACATCAATACATCAATAATTTTCATTTATTCTTGTGGACATTACTTAGATTGTTATTATTAGTTGTTGATCATATCATAGTATGTGATGGGATAGGAAAACAAAAGTAATGCCTCATGGATCGGTTTGTCATTTGAGTTGAATAGAATAAGACAACGTTTTCATGTCTAGTGAGGTTTTGACCAAACTCTCGATAATTCACCCTAAAACATCGTATTTTAATTAGTTTTAAAATTCACGATTAAACTTATGTTTATGTGAGCTAGCTAAATTCATAAGATATCGTGACATATTATGATCCAGTTGATGGTTCAAAGATTCATAACTTTAGAGTACGAGAAAGAGTTGGATTGGGGGATGGCGTTTGAGTTTGAGGCCTTTCGAGAATCAAATCATGGCGTCTTTTCTTAGAAGCATATCATATGAAATGAGCTGTTAGTGTCTCATCTGTGTGTCACACCCATACATTTAAGGCTTCAATTTCATGTTTGATATTTGTAGGACATGTTTTAACAGTCTACCAACTCTTTTTGTCGATATTTGGCAACATAACGGCCACCCCTATTTACTGCCCTTATTTTCCATCCAGATATATTCCTTTTCCTTTCTCAATCACCAAATTAACTCAAGTCAACCACCTATGGTCCTATTGGAAGGCATTGACAGGGAAATAAGACTAGATCTTCTCCATAGATGTCCTTAAAAGGAAAATCATAAATAAGATAATAACTGCTAATGATGAGTTTAGGCTGTTACAGAAGGTATCATAGTCAGACAACAAGGTGTGCCAACAAGGGCACTGGCCTTCAAGAAAGTGGATTGTAAGATCGCACATCGATTAAAAAGAGAAATGTAACATTTCTGATAAGGGAGTGGAAACCTCTCCTTAGTAGATGCTATTTAAGACTCGGGTTGGTTTGTGGAGATGTTAGAAGAAAGTATTGTAGGAGGTGTAGGGGAATGTTGGGGCACACATGTACAAATCTAAATTTCGAATCATGATTAAAATGATGGGCATAAGTTATTACAATTAAATCCTTAATTATACCTTTAAACTAATTGCAAAGTAAATTAGGTAGCATAGTTAATTAAGTTCATTGACCCAGTAACGTATACGCAATCATTAATTCCTTAATTATTAAACTTTATTGATTATGAAAATATGTGATGAAATTCTTTAAATAAAATAAGGTTTAAATATATAAAAGTAAATTATAGAAAAATGTTTTGGAGAAGAATTGAGGCGGGACCCACCAAGTCATAATTCGTCCTTTTGATCAGTTTTATTAATATTAGTATTAATATTTAATATATTTCAATGTCTAAGACTTTTATTGTACATTTATTGTAAACGTTTAACCATTCTTTTACAAATAATATAAGTTTTTAAAAAAATATTATTTAAAAGGTTTAATGCGATATATATATATATATATATATATATATATATATATATATATATATTTTTTTTTATATAGAATAAAATATTCATGTAACTAAGTATTTGAAGTTGATGAAGTGACATAAGTGCAAAATATCAAAATATTTAAAATTAACGGAAACGACAAAACCATTTTTGAGTTAAAAAATAACAAATAATTTATTTAAACATTTAAAGGGAAAATGGTACAAAAGTTAAAGGGACTAAAATAATGACCTCTTAATACTTTATAAATATAATATTGATTCAGAAAAACAATATGGGTCCCTATGTTTTAAGTTGTATTATATTTGTAATAATATAATAAAAGTAAAAATAAAATAAAAATAAAAACTATCATATTTATCGACTATTTTTTTAAAATTTCAATCAGCTTCTATCTATCATTTTTTTTTTCATTCATACATATTTCATCTAATTCTATTTTTATAATAATTGTTTTCCTATAATTTTATCAAATAATATAGATCAGTAAGTTTTAAAGCAATTATCTTATAGTAAAATATTGCTAAATGTTAATATAAAATAATTGAAATAATGACTAGTTATTTAGATATTATTTTACCAATTATAACGTTTTACAAATTTAAAATTAGAATTTACCAAATTAAATAATTAGCAATTATTTTAAAAGTTATAGTAATTCCAAAATAATGTAATTTTACTTAGCTAGGTTTAATTTTTTACATTAACCCTAAACACAAAAAAGGAAAGAAAATCAAGAACAAACCCAATATAGAATGGGCTTGAAAACGATCGAACTCGAGAGAAAATACAAGTGCGTTTAAAAGTAACGGAAAAGTAAAGGAATCGAGAATTCCCCTCGTTAACCTCGACCTGCAAGACTATTTTCCTCAATAGGCATGCATCTTGCACATCCACAACTTAAAATCTTTTTCAATACGTACAAATTTAGGGTCATGTATAAGACTTTTTTTTGTTTGGAAATCAAGGCATCAACCAATTTGAATTTAAAAAGTAAAGAGTATATTTGAATGAAAATAGAAATGGAGAGAAAAGTGGCAGTGTGGGTGGTGGTTGTGTCAGTGTTAGGGAAGAGGGGAAGGCGCGCGAGAACACCGCGGGGTCTGTTCTCCAATACACCAATTACTACTGCTACTGCTACTCCACTCCACCACCACTCCTCTCTTTTATTTCACTTTCTTTCTTCACTTTCCAAATCTCCAATATCCATAATACACATTTGAGAAATCGTAAGTTAGTTGAAAAGAAGAATGAAACATTTTTTATAAAAGTGTGAAAAACTCTTTTTAGTAGATGCATTTTAAAATCGTGAGGCTCACAGCAATACAGACAATATCTGCTAACGATGAGTTTGCACAGTTACAAATGATATCAGAGCTATACCCCGAATGATGTGACAGTGATGACCCTGGATTCTTAAGGGAGATTGATTTTGAGATCTTATTTGGAGAGGGAAACGAAATATTCAGAGTATAAAAACCTCTTCTAACAAAGACGTTTAAAAACTGTACTTACCCACTTGCCATTCAATTACCAATACAAATCAAAACCACCAAACAAATACGTGGTGGGGTCATACACCCATGTGGGGCGTGGGCTCCACCTGAACCAGGTATTTAGGGACAACGATGGGACTCTTTCTGGGTCCCCTTCCTCCCCCCTTCATCTTCTTTCTTTACCCTTTCAGATACACAAACAAAGAAACAAACAAAGCAAAGGAAAGGAAAGGAAAGGAAAGGAAAGGAAAGGAAAGGAACTTACCCACAAACCTTTCTCCCATCACTTTGATTTGATGCTCTTTGGGGCCCTCGCTTTTTACTACTGCCACTTCACAAACGTTACTCTACAATACAAAGGAGCCTCGGATTTATTTCTTTCTATACTCCTCCTGGGCCTATACCTCACTCCGGCCCAATACTTTTCCTTAATTGGGTCCAGAGTTTAAAAACGATTCAACAGGTTTTAAGGATTGTCCATGTAATCATCAGCACAACTTCACAACGAAACCAACAATAGCACACGTGTATTTATCATCTTCATTGGAACTAACAGATTACAAATCACACACACATCATAATGGGAAACTTTTTATTTTATAACCCCACATCTTTGGAGATGAAAAGGCAGTGCAGCTTCACAGATCTATAGATATCACCACAGGTGCATCCCCCTTTTCCACCACAAATGTCTTAGTGATTTTCTTAGAGCTGCCATTCACAATCTGCACGTTGTATGTTCCCTGAAACCCTCGAAATTTGAATTCATTTTTCTCATCCATCTGCCCACTTGCATGAGAAAGCCATTCGTGTTTCAGAGAAAGGTATCGTTTGCCAGCTTCGTTGATGTCGCCTTCTGCATTCACTAAATGAGAATTGTCCCGGCTCATGAACAGCTCCCAGAATCCCCATAGCACTATACCTTCTACTGCGGGATGAGCAAAAGCTTCTCGAAGCATCACTTCCAAATCATTGGCTCTAATGTGTTCATTGATGGACGACACGTCGAGTTCTGTGAACCAGACTGGAAGGCCAAGAATTCCCATTTTGTCTAAAGCAGAACTAACAACTGGTCCCACTGGACTATCGATATGCCCTTGGATCCCAACTCCTCCCACTGGAGCGCCTTGCTCTTGCAGTTGAAGAATTTGCTGGATGTACTTCTCTGGAGAAGATCTGGTGTCACATCCATCCTCGACGTGATAGTCATTCACGAATAGGAGAGCTGATGGATCGAGTTTGTTAGCGTTCTTGAACATGTCCGCTCGAATATCTTTGCCGAGATGATCTTGATAGAATGATCCGTGCAACATCTCATTGTTGACATCATAGTGCTTGAACTTTCCCTTGTAGCGTGTCAATAGTCCTGTAAGGCGGTTTTGAACAGCAGCCATCATATCATTCTTGTTCAAGGATTGAACCCATTGTTGTACGGTGTCCTGCACTTCCCAGAAGATGCAGTGACCACGAGTCTCTATGTTGTGGCTCTTGCATAAATCCAGTAACTCATCGGCGTCCATATAGTTTAATTTTCCTTGCTGTGACTCTGTCCAATACCACTTGAGCTCATTTCCAAACACAGCCCAGTTAAAATTCTTCACGAAGAATTTGACAAAATCTTCGTTGTCAATGTTTGATCTACTAATACAAGTCCCAAAAGGAAAACTGTTCTGCATTTGTCTGACTTTTATAAACGAGCCACTAGAGCTAGATCCTGAGAACTTGAGGGTGATGTCACGCCTGCGGACCTGCAGTTGTCCAAATTTTAATGATAAAAGCATATTCAGCATTCGCTTGCTTAATGATATGTCAACCTAATAGGTGGTTGGAACCAAGAAAAGTTAAGATCATGATGCATAAAACGAAACCTGAAGAATCAAGGAACGCTAAAAACTAATATTGCAGATCAAACTATATGACCAATGCATTTACTATATGTTAGGAGGAGCATAATACTTCATGCCAAGAATATTGCACCAAGACTCCAGATTCCATTCTTACGGTATTAAAATTTTATAATTTCTTCCTATACGTGACAGTGTGTGTGTATGTCTAAACTTTACCTTATCTGTCTGTGACCTCAAATATCTTAACCTTGCATGGTGGTCAACAGGGAAAATTTGAAGTCCCGCGACCATTAAGTCGACATTTGGAGAAGGACCTTGTATGTAAACCATAATCTTTGCTGCTTGCTTCTCAATCCTAAAGGAACCCCCAATTTCATGCCATCGAGCATCACTGATCTCGACTTGCCCTCCATTGACCCATTGGTTATCCACTCCAAGTGCAACGTTGACATTTTGAGGACCAGTTGCCCCGGAGCCAATCTTTACCCAAGCAGACACTTGGTATGTTAGAAAGAGTTTCACCTTATCAGTTATCATCTGAGCAGGACCCATCCAAGTCTGCGAGCGATTTGTCACGAGGATGTAGCGGCCACTAAGAGGTTCAGAAGGGCCAAGGGAGTCTCGGGCCATAGGAGGAACGATATGAGGCGACCCCATTCCAACATTTAGTGTACAACTTCCAAGGGGAAACCATCCATTGGTGCCATTACTTAGATTGCTGTTCTCGATTATGTTGACTCCATAGGCTGGATTCTGCACGATATAAACCAAGACCAATTAGCCTGAAACTCACACATTAATTCAAGTATGGAAATTCCTAAAATTGATTTGCAGTTCATTCAAGCAACCTCAACAATTGGTGGAGGTGAAGGAGGAATCTTTTGTGCATGCTTGACAACAAAACTATCAATGAGAATATCAACTCCTGAAGGTGGACCTTCAATATAGATGACAACCTTTGATGGGGAAGCATTTAAAAGAAACTTTCCCTGTAATTGTATCCAGTCCTTATCTGTTGCCTTCACACTTCATCAAATCAATCAACTTTCAGTTTCTTCATAAATTGCACAAGTTTATTTGTATCAAGGTGCAAAAGATAAATTGAGAAACTAACTTGGCAATTCCGATGTATTGTTCACGAGAATTAGGTGTTTGCACCCATAAAGTAGCCCGTACATCAGTAGTGGTGATATTGTTGCCAAATACACGAACAACAGCGGCCACATCATAGGCAAGCTTTCGCTGCACCCTTGCTGTGATGTCCTGCTGAATCCCGTTCCAGCTCTGTGTGCGCTCAGTTGCAGAGGCAAAATACTTACCAGACTGTGGGAGAACTTTTCCATTTCCCATTGAATCGTGCAGAGCAATTTTGCATCCTCTTCCAGACCAATTGTTGAGGTTATCGTCAAATCTTGGGTTTAGAATAATATTCTCATCGTCAGCATTGGCACTTCCAGCCTTCTCGGATTCGTAGTCATGAAGAGAGAGTTAAGTTCAATGATAGAAAAGCAGCAATTTAATTTGAATGACAATGATCCACATAAGAACCATAGACGTTAAATTCCATTGAAGTTTTGGATACGGAGTCTGATAAGAAAGCTTAGGCAGACAACAGGATTTCTGAATTCGCTTACTCAATTAAGAAGGATGAGGTTAGTTTAAATATGAAAAAATTACCTCCAATTCGTTAGGACTGGCACAGGTAATCTCGACTGACCGTATGAGCAAATCAATACCTGGAGAAGGCCCTTCCAGATAGAATACAACACGGTCTGGCATGGTTGGAAGGGAGAATGTCCCTTCCAACTTCTCCCACTTCTCTTTCGACACAGAAGTTCTGCATGCACTTTTATCTATTAGTTTTTCAACTCCAGTTATTTCCATTTTACGGAAAAATATTAGAAATGGGACAATAAAGTCAGTTACCTTCCAATGCACAAATAGCTAGTAGCAGCATCTTCATGTACTAGCTTTAAAGTTGCTAGGACATCAGCAGATCCATGAAGAGATCCTGACACTCCAACATTTGCTGAAACTGAATAAGTAATACCTGGGGAAATCTTGTTGGTGATTTCCTGTTCCAGTCCCTGCCAGCATTCATTCCGATCCTTCACAACAGCATACTTAACACGTGAATTGATGGATGCTTCCTCCTGATAATTTATCTCGGCCAAAGTTGCATTACAGAAGTTGGGGTGCCAATGTTGCAGTCCCATTGAGAAGTCATGGTTCAGTAAGATATTAGCAGCACGTGGAGGGCTTAGTTTGGCCGAGTTCTCTTTAACAGCCTGTCAAAAAAATATGAGAGTAAATCAGGAAGGAGATCCCGGAAACCATATAAATAATCAAAACTCTAATAAGAATAAAAGTTCAGATTTCAGATATCCCTTTTATCAGAATGATCACTAAAAATGTCAGATTATATAAACAGATCCCGGTATGTACAAAATGATGAAACAAATCAGTACCCCTGAAACATCATTGGCATTGTTCTTCTGCGTGGTTTCCATGGTCACAACAGCACTCTAGCCAAATTCAAATGCAAAACAAATTTTATCAGATAAGAAGGAAACAGTAAAAGACGTAGTTTAATTAGTTAAAAGAGAGAATTTCTTGGAGATAGAAGGCGGACTAGCACCTGAGAAGGCTTGTCACTGTTGGGATTCTGATGATTGATGTTGGGAGATCGGCTTGTGAAGCAGCAGGTACATGCCTTCCTCATTTATACGAACTAATCAGATTTACAAGTAAATTCTAAGGAAAGCCAAGACATCCAACCAAACAAACAATTTAAGTCTCTGCTCATTAAACAAATGAGCAATTGGCAGCAATTAGCTTCCGTCAAGCAATTCCAATTTGAATACTATCAAAAGGGTTGTCATATTTTGCTTTTTCTTGCAGATTGGAGCAATGCTAGTGCCCCTATATGCTTGAATTAAAATGGAAGCGTTAAGACTGTTCTGTGTTTCCTAATCCACGATAAAAGCCGACCTCTTGCTTTGGTTCTTGGCCTCCTTGATTACCAGAAGAATTGGCTTACAAGAAATGTGATAGTACAAACTTCAGGCAATTAGAAGTTAGGTGGTGGGTCATCCAAAAGTTCATATTGGGTCACCCAAAAGTTCATATTAGATGAAAAGTGAATCGGGGATGTGACTTCTGAACTCTATTTACCCAGATCCGCATGGTTCATTTGAGAAACAAATAAGATTTGGCTTTCCCTATTTGATGCTCATATCCTCAAGCTGTTTGGAGCGTCCATTCCAAACAGAGATCTGTCTTTCAGGACAGAAACCAACAAAGCCTAAATCTGCCCATTCAACTGCTCGATTATGCCTCCACATTTGAGACCAAATTTCAGAGAACATACAACGAGAGCGCACCGCCATCCTTCCTGATGGAAATGAAAATGTAAGTACAATTTCCACATTGGACCAGTTTTGAAAGCACTGCCTCAGAAAAAAACCCAAACGGAAAGTTCATAATGTAATATTAATTTTCAAGAAACAGGCGGCAAATAGCCATGGTATTTTCTCACTGAAATTCTCAGTATGCGAACAATATATACTTCCCACTTTGACAAATTATGAAAGGTCCAACCAAATAAAAGCATATCATAAATGACTCTCAACCATTGCAATAACGCACATACAGGGAACATGTATTAAAAATCAATGAGAAGAAAACCTCCAAATTCAAACGCACTTTCTGTTAGGTGATACGATTTCTTGCCTTGTTCTACAAATTAAAAGCCTAACAAGACACCAGAGTGAAACCTGTAAGCTTCCTTCACTAGCATCGTCATTTGAAAACACATTAACGATTGAAACCATTGGCTTAGATAGTTAAACACGGAGAAACTTCAATCCAAAAACAATGGCATTCGATAAAATACAAATAGAAACACATGCCAATAAAACATCAATGCAAGGCTCTGCTAATAGAGAATGGAGCAAAAACTGACGATCTAATTAAGCAACCATCAACGCATGTTAGACATAAGCAGAAGAGCTCCAGATCATGACAGTCGGATTTGGATACGATTGAAATCAATCTAGATCATAGCAGCTTAGAAACACTGAACTGAAATATCAATGAACTAATAGCTTTGAAAGGTCTAAATTCTAGAACTGGATCGATAATGTCCCAAAGCAAAGCGACATTGCCCGCAGAAACGAAGAAAAAGAGAAGGGTTGAGGTTCGCAGAGTGTGCGACTGAGAATACCTGAAAACGAAGAGAATCTGTGGAGGTTGAAGAAAAACCCTTCCAGAAGCAACTTCCTCCTCCTCCGATACCCGCCAATTTTCGTTATTTTGTATTTACACAAAAAAAAAAAAAAAAAAGGTTTTTAAATAATATTTAAAATTCTTTAAATTATCATTTATTTAAATTTATTATTCCTTCATTAATATAATTTTTAATCGAATGTATACACAAAATTGAAAAATATATAAATAAAAGTTGTATTTATAATAATACCAAAGGGAAGAACAGAGATTTAAAAATTAAAATTGTTAAACGTAAAATTACATGGCTGCCCTTTATATTATCAACGGCCCAAACCCAAAGCTCGTTATCAAAGATATTCAGAGATGGAAGACCACCGGATTCAGGCCCAACCCATTAAAAAAATTTAAAACTAATTAATCTTACATACAATTTAAATTCTTTTAATTTTAAATACAAAATTAAAAAAATTTAACCATTTATACTATTTAGTAGTTGAAACATTATATAGACCCAAGTGTGTGTTATTATTTCTTTTATTTATTTTCATAATTAATGTTTATTAAAAAAATATTCCAAAAAAATATAACTTTAAAGATTCCAGACAATCTTCATTACTAGAAGAGATATGTTTATTCTTGTCTACAATCCGCAAGTTGTAACTTTAAAATATAAATACCACTTTTAACCTATGATTATAAGACATAGTTTGGTTAAATTAATTTATTTTATAAATAAATAAATGGTTCTTATCTTTAAATTATAAAAAATATGGATAAAATGGTGGGTCCCACCAACTTTATTACAAAATTTATATAACTGTGGGTTTGAAAAGGGTAACGCATGTGGTTAATTTTGCTTGTGATTACAATGGGATTTGGAACCCAACTCCACTAATATCCAAATTAATTGTCAATTTATGATTTTAATTAATCTAACAAAGTTATGGAGCATTTAAGGGCTTTTTAGTATAATGAGCTTTGTTATACTCTTTTATTGCATACAATTGCGACTTTAATATATTTTTAAAAAAGATTAAGAAAAATGATTATTTAATAACTATTATTTATAATAATCTATAATTAAATCATACTTAAAAAAATAATTATTTTTATAATATATATACATATATGTATAATAATGTATTAAGAGCAGCAATATTATTGCAGATGTGGGAACCGCCACTAGAACAAGTAAAATAAAATAAATAAATAAAAAAAGTCAGGGATTGTTACAAAGCCACAAGTAGTGCCACGTATACACATGGATAGTCATGGAATGTTAAAGGCATCGCTACGTCACTCTCAACTCCAGGCCCTATCAGCCACGTGGATATAAATATGAAACTCCAACCTGGGTCACTGCGACACGAGTTGAATTGACCGTACAACCTTATCTGTCCACCTGGCAGCTGATATTCTGAGTGGGACCCATGAATTATGAAAATAAAAAAAATAGAATTTACTGTTTTTGTCCTTATTAAAAAAAGATCCATTTAGTCGTGTGTGCATGCGTAGTGATTACTGATTAGGCCTGCCGTTTAATCACTTTTCAATCGCTAAAAATTTGATTAAATATTGCTAATTAAACTTGGTTATTTGTTAATTATATTTACCTAACCTTCTTTATTCTTTATTTATTTAGAATAAATCAGCGGGTCTGTTTTAAAACGGTGGGGTTAGTATTTGCAGTTTTAAGTTAACCCAACTCTTACCAACCCGGTAACCCACTTACGGTTAAAAATTTGGTCTCTCTTTTCATCGGTTTATATGTTCGTTCGCAGCCGATACTTTCTCTTCATTCGCAGAGTCGGCTGAAACACGATGATCCACGGACAATATAGATTCAATCATACAATTCAACTCCCCTCCAGGGACCCACTCGAAGACCATCAAATGACCGGAATTTCCTCGCCGGTCTTCATCGGCGCCGGGGTTGACTTCTCTTCTGCCATTCACCGTTACCTTCCCTCTGCGGCTGATTCTGACGAAGTGGACGCGGCGGACTCGCCGGTTAATGGTTTTTCCTGTGACGATTTTCGGATGTTTGAGTTCAAAATCCGGAGATGCCCACGTAGTCGGTCGCATGATTGGACTGAGTGTCCGTATGCCCATCCCGGCGAGAAGGCTCGCCGGAGAGATCCGAGGATGTATCAATATTCCGGCACGGCTTGTCCGGAATTTCGGAGAGGGAATTGCAAGAAAGGGGATTCTTGCTCACTTGCTCACGGGATTTTCGAGTGTTGGCTCCATCCCGCTCGGTATCGGACTCAACCCTGTAAGGATGGATTGGCCTGCCGCCGACGTGTCTGTTTTTTCGCCCACACGACAGGGCAGCTTCGGGTTCTGTCACAGCAGAGCCCGAGAACTCCGGTTTCGGGCGACTCACTCGCATTTGATTCCTATTTTGCCAAGGGGTCATCTCTGACCTCACCCACTTCAATTCTATCAACGCCGCCGGTCTCCTCGCCGTCCGATTCACCTCCTATGTCGCCGAATTGCCCCCAACTCGGCGGCGGGTCGTTTAATTCGATGAATGGGCTCGTTTTGTCCATTCGTAACCTTCAAATGGGGGAAATGAAAGCAACCCCTCAATGGGGAGTTCAATTGGGACAAAATTTGCATTCTCCCTCCGGCTCTGGTTTCTACAGCTCATCGTCGACTCCGACCACCGGGAATTACGAATTATGGGGGAAGAATTATGAAGAAGAACCTGCAATGGAAAGAGTGGAATCTGGGAGAGACCTGAGAGCTAAAATGTATGCGAAACTCAGCAAAGACAACTCAGTGGCGCAGCCATTGACACCCGATGTCGACTGGGTCTCGGAGCTACTGATGTGGACAGGGTAAATTCCATCCGTTGGATTCAAAATCGGTGGCCTTTTTGGTGGATTTCTGCAATTTTCAGCGTTTTAAAGGGTTTCTTTTTCTTAATGAACAGAGAGAAATAAATTACTCTGTTTTCGTTGTACATAAGAATACGGACTTTTGATTTGATTTAGCAGGGCTGCTGAAGTCAGTACATAAGAAGACTGCCGGTCGCCGGTTTCCTGTTGCCAGTTGCCGGTTGCCGGTTGCCGGCTGGGCATTTGATTTAATTTTCAATTGTTATTTTGTAAATAATGTTTTCCGACCAATGAGATAAAATTCCCAAAGTTTATTTTGTTGCCTTTCAATTTATTAGCAAAATAAAATTTCCCCATTATTAACCCACGAGAAGCCTAAATGATATCAATGGCAGTCACCGCTGCGACCAGGACCGCCATAGTAGAAGACAGGTTCACTAGTGTAAGTTTCTTGAAAATTATAACAGAGTGACAAGTAGGTTCATCAGCCCATGTTCCGACTCTCTCTGGATACTTCAATTGCAGCGAATAGTCCACAATCCTCAGCGTGCTCACATAGCTAGCGTAGTAGGCGTGCGCCCCTGCATAATCTCCACTCCCCATGGGCGTCCCCGTGTGCACCACTTTCTTTAATTCTGAGCTGAACACTTCTCCGCCCCATTCCACCAGTGTCACACTGTGGCTCAAGTATCCGAATAGCGTCCCGCGGCCAATACCCCACTGGCTGCCTTTGTACCTTTAGCCACCAATTGCCTGATTGAGGATTCTGAATTTATTAACATTAACCATACGTTAGAAATTACGACTCCCTACAATGAAATGATATGGTTTATTTTCAGCCTAAACTTTAATAGCTTTATTTTGAATTTTTCCAAAATGTCTGTTAACCATAGCGATGTATTTTTTACTTATAAATTCATAAGTGAATGAAACTCCCTCTTAACAATCCTCAATCGAATACACCTACCATCATTACTCTTTGATTGGATATAAAATAAGATACCTGGAAGATACAATCACTGCATTATTGTCCACCTGAAATTGATGACATGGGTTCGATGGTTCCACCAAGGCTACAGCGTTTGTTTGGACAAACCCACTGCAAGTTAAATCAAAGCACCCCGTCGACTTGTAGGAGTCCACCTAACCATTTTTCCATGTTAGATACTCAAAATTTTTCGATGCTCTTAGCAGTGAAAATCCTCAATCTTACTGTCCAATTTAGGTTGAGTCGAGTTCTTGTATCTCCATATAGCCTCGGATTTACCTATAACAACAATAACAAATTAAAATATATATTAAGTGCATTCAATTGCTGTAAGTTTTTTTTTTTTTAAAAAAACAGTCCAGCCAACTTCTACGCTATCAAAACTTTCAGAAGGCCCATTTTTCAACCAAAGTTTTGCAGCTGACAACTTTAGGGTTCCAAACATTAATCTCTCCATAAGTGCCAATATAGTTGTACCCTAGTGTAACCAAGATCGCCGTCTGGTTCATATTTAACACCAAATTATAAAACAAGTTAGCTTTTGCTTACAGAACGATTGACTTCCGCCCCAAGTTTGGAACCTCCAATAGGAAATTTCTTCTCGAAGTTTTTTAAAGAATTGGCTCTTAGTAAGTCTTCTTTACGAACCCTACCAATTGGAATAGTTCCTTTGGGACATCTCCCACTTTTTTGCCATACTTGAAATAGATTAGATCGAAACGACTCGTTTTGGGCAGTTACCATCTTCATATCGACAGCCCAATTGGGTTTCATCTACATGCATGTACGCAAGCATCGATTAAAAAGTGTTCAGAACTTAGAAACCACGAATCTCCACAATACTATAATATTGTCCACTTTGAACTTAACCTTTATCGTTCTATTTTCAGTTTATCTCAAAACACGTCGTACCTTACTTCTAAACAAAAATTTGATAAAATATATAAACGTGAATGGTGTGGTTCTTTAGAGCCGGATGGTCAAAAGCAGTCTGTTTGTAAATGTCAACGCAATCGATAATATCTCCATCTTTGCTCTGCATAATTCCCATGCAAAATTATACGTAAAAAAAGCATTAAAAAAAATTTAAAAAAACGCAATGAAAATAAAGATGTTACGTAGATGGTGTGGACGGCAGGCTTATTAAGAAGCTTTAACTTCTTGTGAATCTGTCGAGATAATTGTTGAGACTTATTCATCTCTGGAATGGCTGCATGGGCTTGGAGAATGGCAGCAGCAATGGCCAAAGCCACCATTGCCGACAGCTTCCCTTCATGTTCTGGCTGCATGAGCTTGGAGAATGGCAGCAGCAATGGCCAAAGCCACCATTGCCGACAGCTTCCCTTCATGTTCTGGCTACATGAGCTTGGAGAATGGCAGCAGCAATGGCCAAAGCCGCCATTGCCGACAGCTTCCCTTCATGTTCTGTGTTCCTCATTTTCTCCGAAACAAACCCAACACAAAAGTTTGGATTTTTGTTTGTTTTCTTGGGTTGAAGAAGATAATGGAGAATTCAAATATTTATACCACTTTTTGTTCATCCATTTGGAAGTTAATAAAACTGAATCTCATAACAGATATAAGGTAAAAGTTGGAGAGAATGGCAGAATAAGAATGCCAGCATGGTTTATTAACCATAGCCTTTTCTGTTTTAACAATTTTATTTTTTTGTTTTTATTAAGATTTTATAATAAGATCCAATATCACTCGCAGACAAACTAAACATCTTATAAGGATATGAAAAATTCTTATTTATTTTCAAATCGTGAGATTGACAATTATAAGAAGCTGAATCTGACAATATTTTTTAGCAGCGAGTAAATTTATGTCACATCATTAATATCTTAGAATTCTTTATAAAAATGAAAAAAAAAAACAACTTTTATAGAATCACATAAACTAAATAAGAGCAAATTTATAATTTAATCCTTTAAAAAATAATAAGAAGAAATTACATGTAAACAAGTTTATTATTTAGAAATAAATTATTGGTCAAAATGAAGCAACGTGGTAAATAATTTTAGCCACCGGTAAAACCCCCCTTTCAACCTTTAGCCCGTGCCCTCTCCTCCCACTGTCATTTTTTTTTTCACTTAAACCCTAAAACTCGATTGAACCCGTGGGCTCCGCGTACCGACCACTCCGGTCTCTTACCCGTTATTAGCATTGGTTTTGGCGCCATTATTTTGCCCACCGCAGCGTATAGCCGTAACTGTGAGTAATCTAATTCCCTCTTGTTCTTTAGGCGCTTTGGTATCGGATTCTGCATTTTTCTATCAAGGTTCGAAGAAAACTTCGTGCTAAGGGAATGGATTTGAAAAACCATGTTAAACGTGGAGGTGAATTTTTCACAAATCTTTATATTTGTTTTATATATTCTTAAGAACACTGCGGTTTACCTCGAGAAAGTGAAGTCCAGTGAAAGAAAGGATTCGGGTGTGCAGACGCATCGAGGAGCTAATCGTAATCTCCATCGCTTCTTTGAGAGGAAACTTATCTCTTGGGAATCGGTCGTCCTTCTTGTCTTGAAATATTTATCATGCCAAATTTTTGGTTGTATGGTATTGTTGTGACTTCTTGAAGATTGAGAAGTGAGAGCCTTAAGAGTGAAAGTACAGGGATATTCACATTCACGCCGCATGCGGCTGGATTATTTGTTTCTCACCCAGTTTTGAATTTGGAGGGTTTTTAGGATATATAGAAATTAAGAAGGGTGATGCAGTGAGACGTTTCAGTAGGTTTAAGTTGTTTAGTCGATTCTTTATGGTCCTTGCCTAATCATACAGGCCTTAGCGTCGAAACTATATACTATATGTAACTTTTTGAGACGTTTAGTCTACGAAATTGTGACATGTTTCTGAGTTCTCTTCCCGCTCTCTTTAATTATCTCATAGGACATACTGAATGACACTTTGTGATTGACTGGATGCAGTGGATTTTACTTCAGCCCTGCAGTAATGGGTCGATTTTCGATTCCATCGTCCAGGAAATCAGCCTTGGAAATTTGAAATTAGATAATTTGTTTGGTTGGACACACCTTCGGATCCAGTTACTTATTTGTTGACTAACATTTCTAAGTTGTTTGCAGCTGGGTCTCCATTTATTGCTTTTGGTGGACTTCAACTAGGAATTAGCTAGCTGATCTGTCGGTATTGTGATCTCTGGTTACCTTTTTATGCTCAATGCTTGACGTTCTGTTATGCTCTGAAATGGATAATCTATCTCAGTCTTCAGGCGGACAGGTAAAGAACCTTTTCTCAGTTCTCAATTAACATCTCTGATTTTAGTTCTTTGCATGTGTGTGTACGTATAAAAGTACTTATATATATTTCATTGCTTACACTTGCCGATTTGAGCTCAAACATTTATTTTGTCTGTTCAATTATTATCTTACTTTTGAAATATTCCCGTGACTTCTCCTTCCTTTTTGGTGCATTAGTGTGTTTGTCTCTTTTGATTTTTTCCATGTATGTTCAGTTCAAATTTCTAAATTCTGGTTCACTGATTCCTGCAGGGTTTTATTTGGTTATTTATTTGTTATGATATTTGGTGAAGTCTATATTCTATTTATGTCTATCGAGTTGATGTGAGTGTCTGAGATTTTTCTGCTGCAGTTTCGACCAAATATCCCAGCACAACCAGGCCAGACGTTCATTTCCTCATCTGCCCCACAGTTCCAGTCAGCAGGGCAGAATATATCTTCTTCAAATGTTGGAATTCCAGCTGGTCAAGTCCAGCCACATCAGTATCCTCAATCAGTGCCACAGTTTGTGCCAAGGCCAAGCCATCGAGGCTATATCACTCCTTTGTCCCAGGGTATTCGAATGCCTTATGTTCCGACAAGGTCTCTTACTTCTGTTCCACCTCAGAGTCAGCAAAACGTGCCTGCACCAAATAATCAAATGCATGGTCTGGGTTCTCATGGACTATCTATTTCTTCACCATATACTGTAATCCTCTCATTCATTGCGCATTGTTTACTTTCATTTTTGTTAATTTGAAAAGCCATTTTTTGTATTTTTATTTTATGGTACATTTTCATGTCCACTCTGACTGACACTAAATGATGTTGGTTTCACTTCTGATTTCCAGCCAATGTCACAAATGCATGTACCTGTTGGAGTTGGTAAGAGCGAACCTTTGATGTCTTCTGTCAGCCAGGCTACAAACCCAGTCTCACAGATTGAGCAAGCTAACCAGCATTCTTCAGTTTCTACCGTAAACCTAGTATGCTCTGCTTGTTTAATTTGTCTACTTCTATCTTCTTTGATTTGAGGGATGATATGCTATAGATCTTGTATGAAAAAAGCTAGAGATGGACTTCAATTTATTTTTATTTTTCTTTTGATTGGAACTTATATGTACTTTCTCTTCTTTGACTTATTGAAAATGTGGTCTTATGTATTAAGGCATTGATAAATGTTCTTAGGCAAGCATGGATGAAGTTAGGGATGTGGAAAGTGAGTTGGTTTTTGTGGAAAGTAGTAGTATGTAATGCCCACATTGGGGAAAAGGTCTGTTTTTTCTTAAAAAAAATAATGTAGTATTTTTCTTTGAGGCATTAAGACAGTTTTCTGATGTGAGCTCCTCAGTGCTATTAAGATGCTGATTTCTATATCCTGACAGGTTTTTTTTCATGTCATTTATAACATCAGGCTGCTAATGTTCCTGTCTTCAATCATCCATCTGATTGGCAAGAGCATGCATCAGCTGATGGAAAAAGGTAATCATGCATTTATCACCTGGTTACAGCTTTCTCATTTCTTAAAATCCAAGGTTTAAATATGTCAACTTAATTGTCGAGGTTAAACACAGTTAATTACTAATTTTCAGTCTGTATACACAGTTCACCCATTGTTTCTAGCACTCTGCAATTCTCTTGATTTCTCTTACTGAACAGAAATTTTTTCTAGATACTATTACAACAAAAAAACCAAACAGTCCAGTTGGGAAAAGCCATTGGAACTTATGACACCACTTGAGGTAAATGTCATTTTTATGAATCATCTTTTATTCTTACCTATAACATTATAACACATCTGTTAAAGAAAAGGTATTTATACAAGGCATTCTTTTCCATTTCTAAACAAAATTCATGGTTATAGATGCCGTTATTAGAATTTTCTTTTAGATTCGTAGGTAAACTTTTGGGGCTGGGATGTATATATAGTGGCTCCATGGAAAAGTATTCTTTGGGGTTGGGATGTATAATTCAAAATCATGATTTTTCTGGATATTCTATCAATTCAGGGATCAATGTGATTTTCTAGACTGATAATTTTTCTGCATAGGGTATAAAGGTTTTCGTTATCAGATATCTTATTTAACTATTGTTTTTTTTTTCCTCTTTTGTGTTCATAAACCGGTGCAATATCTTTAATGCTCTTTGGATATTCGCTGTTGGAGGACAACTAGCTCAAATTTCTTTTTCCAATATAATATGTTTGCTTCTAATTCAAATAATTGTTACAGAGAGCTGATGCATCAACTGTGTGGATGGAATTTACATCTCCAGATGGAAGAAAGTGTGTTGCTTTGTCTCTGTCCTCTTTGGCATTAGCCTGGACACGTTTACATTTTTCAAGTTTTTTTTAGTGTGTTACATTTCTTGATCTTCATGAATAAGCATGTACACTAATGGTTTACCACGAGGTGAAACAGGTACTATTACAATAAGGTGACAAAAGAATCAAAGTGGACCATGCCAGAAGAACTGAAGGTTGAAATCATGGGTTACATTTCACATATCTTTCTTTCTCATGTTGTCTTTCAAAAGGAGTCATGGCTTTCAATCTAATTTCGTTAATTTGCTTGCAGTTGGCTCGCGAGCAGGCTCAGAAAGAATCTGTCCAAGGAACAGAAACAGATATGGCTGTTACAACGTCTCAACCTACACCTATTGTTGGTCTTTTCCATGCTGAAACGCCGGCAATTTCTACCATTAGCTCCAGCATTTCTCCAACTGTGTCTGGGGTTGCATTGAGTCCAGTTCCAGCTGCTCTTTTTGTTTCTGGTCCTCCTGCTGTGGTCCATGCCAATGCTTCGTCAATGTATGTACCAGTCTTGCTGATATAGTTTCCACATCTACTTTTTCTTGGATAGCAGCTCCAAGTGTGCGTATAGTTCCAGTTTTGTTTTGCTCATTGTTGTCTTTGTCCTTTTGAAAATAGGACTACTTTTGAAAGCCTTGCATCTCAAGATGTAAAAAATCCTGTTGATGAAACTTCTACGGAGGACATTGAGGTAATTTGGGGGAGATTTTTATCTTGTACTTTTTGCCTCATAAATGATATTGGTTTCTGAACATTTCTGAAAACTTTATTTTAAATCAAGATCTTTCTACTTCTAAATTCGAATAGAAGCTAGGTTGATTTAGTTAGTTCATCTAAAATTTGAATAAAATTTGGCTCATTAATTGTCTACTAGTTTTTGATATAATCTTGG